CTCATCAAACGAATAGCGATAGAATAATCACCAAACTGGAGAATCATGAGCAGTTAAGTTAACTGACATGCAATTTTAACCATTTGAGAGCATTAAGGATACTTTTTTGTCTTCTTTGCTCTTTTGGGCATTTTCCAGTTTTCCTATAATGCTTATGGATTGCTTTGATAATTATTCTTAAAAATATCAGGTTTTGAAATTATATAAAAATGAATATAATTGCTGAGGTTATTTTTAAAAAGAAATGATATCTAAGAAAGTGCTTTGTTCCAGTCATTTGGGCTGGGACCGTTTAGTAGTTTAACAGGGCATTTTATTGACAGAATCAGAAAGGTGTTCCCATGCATTTTATTCCCTGGTGCATTTCAGTGAATGCTTAAAGGAAGTTGGCACAATAGTTCATTCTTCTGTATTCACGCAAATCATGATGCATGTATTTTCTCTTCCTCATGGACTTTCTGCTTTGCCTTTTTGTGTGATACGTGTGTGACTGGGCTCACTAAGGGGGCAACTCAACTCCCAAAGGAAAGGCAGTCAGTTTAGGGAAACAATTTGTCTTCATTTCACCAGGTAATCAAAGTTAAATCATGTACTACTGGGGTGACAATTCTCTTAATACCTAAGTATCTTTTTCATTTAACATGTGTTAAAAATGAGACCTTGGTAATTTTGAACAAGGAATCAATTCTTTCCCTTCCAAAGCCTATTGATAAATCTGTATATTTGTGTATATAAATCTTCACCTTTGCTCAAAAACACCAAACAAACAAAAAACCAACAGAACACCCAAAAAACAAAAGCAAAACCACAAACCTCCTCACCTTCTAGGCAGAACCGACTCATAGCTGTTCCTCCAGTGGGTTTCCAGAGCTGTAAATCACACAGGAGGGGCTTGCTTATCTTTGTTTTGGAGAGTCACTGTTGGATTTCAGCTGTCAGAGAGCCTTTGAATTAGAGCCTGAGGTAAAGCTTCTTTCTAACTGGCTTGAGTTCCCAATAGGACACCTATCACCACATTGGTAAAGGAGTCAGATCTATCAGTTTGCCATTTGCTAGTTGGGAACCCTTGGGATAAAGTCACATACTGTTTGGGCAGGAAGATCCTTACAGGTCCCATCTCAATGTTGCGTGTTTATTTCGTGCCAGTTAGTTCGACATTGCATTTATAACGTTTATCTTTGAGGTAATGCAACATGAACCATGACATTCTTGAAGCCTTGAGATCTGTAGATACCTAGATTCAACAGTTTTTTACATCGCGTAACTCCTGGACTCCTTTGAGAGGGTGGCACTCATTCATAATTAGCCAGTAATGTTGGAAGCTAAATTCCATCCCAAAAACTTGATTTTTATGTATTTCTTGCATATCAATTTAAGAGAGATTGCTTACCACTTTTAACAGTTGCGATTTAGGCAGGGATTAGTTCAGAAATGGTAACTTGTCATGAGTGGTAAGAAACTTCACTGCAATGTCAAAGGCACATGGTTCAAATCCTCCAGCTGCTCTAAAGAAAAGGATGAACAGTTTACTCCCTGTGCAATTTACTTACCATGCAACTTACTGCTTCTGAAAAGCCACTGGAGGGTCAGCTGTGGGTTGGTTCTGACTTGACCATGATATAGAAAAATGAAACGTCTGGTAGAACAACTCCAGCCCAGAACTCGTGCAGAAAAGAGTCTGACATAATAATTTGATAATAACATGAACACTTTTGTTATGCTTTGGAATTGAGATATGGTCTTTTTTTCCTGAATAAAGGGAATTAGTGTAATTTGAAAGCAGGTATTTCTTTCTCTTTTCAGTATTTTATCTATATAATAAAAATGAAGCCATTTAAAAAATTCTCCATCTTGGGATTAATAAAATAATGTGTTGCATTTTATTATGCTCCATTAATATCTAAAATAATGTTTCCCTAAGACCCCAGTTGTGTACAAAAGCCCACAGGTGGATGTCTAATGAGCATCTAAATCTCAGCTTATCCAAAATAAAACTCCTGATCATTTCCTTAATCTACAAGCCATCTTCTCCATTCTGCCGTCTTAGAAAATAGACTTCTCATCTACTCAGTTGTTCAAGCAAAGAGTCCTTGGTTTTTTTCTTCTTTCTTGTATCCCACAGACCATCATCAGCAATTCTGTTGACTTTACCACTGACATTAATCATCAAATCATTGATTTCTCTCCACACTGTTGTTATTTATCCATCGAAATCATGTATCTTTTACCTGGATAATAAGTGATTGGTCCTCTAATTGATATTCTTATTTGTTTATAGTCTTTATTTTATATCAAGATATAATGCTCAATTGAAAAAGATTGTTTCCATGTTCTTGCAATGGGGAATAATGCTGCTTTGAACATTGATGTACAAGTTTCCGTTTGAGCCTCAGTTCTCATTTCTTGGGGTATATTCCAAGCAATAGAATAGCTGGGTCATATGGGATTTCAATGTTCAGCTTTTTGAGGAAGCACCAAACTTCCTTCCAGAGTGGTTGTACCATTGTACAATCCCACCAACAATGTAAAAGAATTCCTATCTCACCACATCCTCTCCAACATTTATTACTTGTTGTCTTGTTAAACTTTGCCGCTGCCACTGGAGTGAGACGGTGTCTTATTGTGGTTTTGATTTGGATCTCTCTTATTGCCAGTGATTTGGAGCATTTCTTCATATGTCTGTTGGCCATTTGAATATCTTCTGTGAAAATTCTTTCCATGTCTTTTGCCCATTTTGTAATTGGGTTATTAGACTTTTTCTTGTGGAGTCCCAAGAGTAAGAGTATTCCATAAACTTTCATTATGAGACTCTTGTCTGAGATGGTATTGCCAAATGTTTGTTCCCAGTCAGTAGGTTTTCTTTTCACTTTGTTGGGAAAAGTTTTTTTATGAACACAGGGATTTAATCTTTAGAAGGTCCCATTCATCAATTTTATTCCGTTCAGATTATACATTTCTGGCTGTATTTGGCAGTCTTTTTATTCTGTAGACTAGAACTTCTAAACTTGCCCAGATGCCCAACAACAAGAATGGATTGAGAAGTTGTGGTACATTCCTACAATGGAATACTATGCAGCACACAGGAGCTATCATTTTGTAAATTACTACCTAACTGAGGAGGGACTAGAGAGCATTATGCTGAATGAACTAACTCAGTCCCACCAGGACAAATGCCGTATAAAACCATTATTGTAGAATGAGTTTGAGGATCCAAGGTGGGTTGTTGTTGTTGTTATGTGCCGTCGAGTCGCTTGCAACTCATAGCAGCCCTATGTACAATAGCCCTAAACTCTGCTCTGTCCTGTGCCAATATTACTGTCTCTGATACACCCATCCCAATTACCCCAGTCACTGAATCAATCCACCTCATAGGGGACCTTCCCCTTCTGCGCTGTCCCTCCACCCTCCCAAGCATGATGTCCTTCTCCAAGGACCGGTCCTTCCTTACAACATGTCCAAAGTATGTTAGACGGAGCCTCAGATTCCTTGACTCCAAGGAGCCGTCTGGTTTAACCTTTTCCAGGATGAATCTGTTTGTTTTCCTAGCAGTCCATGGTACCCTCAATAGTCTTCTCCAGCACCAAAGCTCAAAGGCATCAATTCTCCTTCTATCCTCCTTAGTCACTGTCCAACTCTCTGATGCATAACAAGTGATCGCAAAGACCATGGCCTGTATCAGACAGACCTTAGTCTCCAGAGAGACACCATTGCGCTTCAGTAATTTGGAGAGGTCCCTAACAGCAGACTTTCCCATGGCAATACGTCTTTTAATTTCCTGGCTACTGGTGCCAAGAGTGTTGACTGTGAGGGAGCTCTAGTGGCCTAGTGGCAAGAAGCTGCACTGAAATCCCAGAGGTACACAGTTCAAATCCACCAGATGCTCTGCTAAAGAAGGAGGGAAAATCCCCTCCTGTACCAGTCAGATACGATTTGATGGTAAATACACAAAAATAATAATAAAATAAAATTAACAAATAAAAAAAAAAGAGTCTTGACTGTGGAGCCAAGCAAACTAAAGCTGTGAACAATCTCAATCTCTTCACCATCCATCCTGATGCTGCCAATTGGTCCAGTGGTGAGAATCTTTGTCTTCTTGACATTGAGCCTCAATCCATATTGGAGGCTGCAGTCCTTGACCCCCTGCAGCAAGTGCTTCAGGTTCTCCTCAGTTTCAGCAAGCAGGGTTGTGTCATCCAAGGTTTTCCAAGGTGGGTGGGAGGGTGCAAATAGAGGGGTGAGGATGGGGGGAGGTAGGGTGTTAATCATAGGGTTGCACAATTTGATGGGTGGGTGGGATAAGGGAAAAAATGTGTTCAAATTGAATAAAATTGTATTCAATTGAAAACAGTGTATTCAAACTTCGTAAATATATAGAGCAATATATAAAATTTTTAAAAAAAGATTATTTGGATTTGACCATTTCCTGTTTAAAGCCTCCTCTTGGCTTTCCATAGAAATCATAATGATATTCCTACCTTTTACGCTGGTTTACAAAGTCATTTGGGGTCTGGCATTATCTACCTCTGTGATTGATCATTTCCTACTCTTGCCTTGACCCCAGAATTTCTCTTTTTCTAGCCTGCCAGCTCATAAATCTGGTGACCTTCCCCCTGGCAGAATTAAGTTCTCTTCACTTTTTTCGTGGCCGACTCCTTCTTTCATTTTGCACAAGATGTTCTGATAAATGCTGACCTGAGGAGGTTGTTCTTGCCCACCTGAATGTATGGACACTCTTACTGTAATCTTTCTTCTAGTTCAGGTATCTGCATAGCACTGACAGCTGTCTTTAGATCCACTCTTATGTTTGTTCTCAGCTGCTGAAGAGCCAAGAGGAGAGCTTGACTGCATTTCCATCCCTGGGGTCGCACGGGTCACAGAAGAACTGCTCACTAAATGTTGGATGTTTCCTGAACCTCATGCTCATTTGTTTTTCGTATGTTTACAGAATCCAGTTTCTTCTCAACTTAGAAATGAAATTGTTTTTGCTTCTATTTTTACAGCAAACTGGGCTTTATGAATATAAGGTCTTTGGTGGCCTGGAGGACTGCCCACCAGCTCTGCTTGCAGATGTCTATATGGACTTAGATTACAGGAAACAGTGGGACCAGTATGTTAAAGGTGAGTGATTATTGTTGTGTGTTGTTAATTCCAAACTCAACACTCAGTTTATAGTGGCACTCCCTAACAGAAGTAGAAACACCCTCTAGGATTTTATGACACTACAATCTTTATAAGAACAGAATGCCAGGCCTTTTCTCTTAGAGGGCCAATGGTGGTGTTGAACCCATAATCATTTGGTTAGCAGCCATCCATTTAAATATTATTCCACTGGGATTCCTTAAAAGTAAGTAATACTTACTTACTTTTTTTTTTAAATCTTCTGAAATCAATTGAAAGTAGAATCCTTTCCTTCTTATTCTACCCAAAGTAAGGGAGCAGGTTTAATATCTATTATATTTGTTTCATTTAAAATTTATGTCACAAGTTTTAAATGCTGAGCTGAAGTAGACACATTTATAAAGAAAGAGTCCTTGCATATTTTCACATCTGCTGTCTGCTGGGCTCTGTAGGTACCTTTACTCTCCTTTCACTATTAGGTTGTGTTTCTATCACATTTACTGAAGTGGACTAAGGTTTCTTGAAGAGGTAGTCTCTAAGCGTTGTTTTCAAAGTTGAGGCAAAGTTTTCCAAACAAACAAGAATATATCTAAGTGAAGGTGTGGGGTAAGTAGAAAACAGCATGAGTGTGTTAGAAAATAATGAAACGGTAAATGTTAAAAACTGAGTGTTTACTAGTGTTGCTTGCTTGGATAAGGTAGTAGAAGCTAGAGTAAGGGCCTACGGCAGGAGGAGGGTCCATATCCCTGAGGGTCTGGCATGGCCACCAGACTGCAGGTTCTAGATTTTACCCTGTAGATGATGGGACTTGTATGAAGACGTTAAGTAGAAGATCCTCTTGCATCTGAGAGGGGCATTTACCGTTTCATTCTTCACAGAAAGGACAATGGAGCTAGCAAAGGCCTTTGATTTAGTAAAAAAGTCTTGTTTGGAAATAAGAAAAAGCCAACTGTCAGCTTAAAAAGATGAAAAGGATTTTGTGGTTCACAGCATTGAAAAGTCCCGAGTTTCTGGAAACATAAATAATTTCACCAAGAAATTTTTCTACTCTTGTTCTGCTTTCTTCTCTGTTGACTTTTTGATTTATGCCACAGCAGAGACGGAACCAGAAGATCCAGACTTTCAGTCTGACATTTAAATAACCCCAGGGGTTATTTATGAGGTCCACACGTTGGCTTTTATTGTCTAACTTTGGATGATATGCTTATTTCTAATAGACATTCATCATGGTTTGGGGCTACGTGCTATGTGGTCAGTTGCCGTTGAAACAGCCCTGGACACAGGCAACCCCATACACAATGGAACTCCCGTGCCCTGTGTTACCCCGTGTGACTGCTTGTGGGCCAGATCTTTGTGACCTATGGGATATTCATAGATTGATTTTTAGAAGTAGATCATAAGCTTTTCACCCTAATTTGTCTTGGTCTGGAAGCTCCCCTGAAACATATTCAGCACAATAGCAACGTGAAAGCCTCCTCTGACAGGTAGGGAGTTGACGATGGAAGAAGTATCCTGGCAGGGCCTCGAACCACAGTCTCTCTCATAAAAGAGAATTTTATCACTGATCCGGGACTGCCTCTTGGATTGCTTGGTGTTTTGTTGTTATTTAAAAAAAAAATACACTTGCTATTTAGGGAGAATTATGAGACTTATTTATCCAAGCAGGAAGCCAGAGCTTTGCTCTTTCAGGCCCCTTAGCCACACGGTGGGTTGACTTATGACTGCAACAGTGGACTTAGAGCAATGGTTGTGGAATGAGACAGGACTGGGAAGCTTCAGTCTGTTGTACATAGGACCGCAATGAACTGGAACCAACCCCATGGCATCTAGCAACCACAGCAACCATGGGGCATCATGCGATACAGACTTTGCCAATAAAGTAAGTGCCATGTGGCTTCAATTTTGAAAAGATCGCTCTGATGAAGCACACAGCATACAAAATCCATTTTCCGGCTACATCTATGCCTGAGGCCTCTGATTCTGGGGAAAACAGTGTTTGGTCCCTGGCTCGTGCTGGCTGGGTCCCGGGGTAGCTGCGGATTGCCTTCCATTGGAAGGTCCTGCACTTCTAAACCTCACTCTTGCCTCCTGGGTATTCTCTGAGCCACCAGAGAGCCTTTAATATGTTGGTGTGCTTACAGGGACGGACTATAACCCTGGCCAGATGCACTGACCCTGAATTTATCACCATGTCTTGCTTATTTTTCCAGCCCTGAAATTAGGGCCGACTTCTTTGACTTGGACCACATAAACAAAGTAGGGAAAGGTGATTTGACTGAAGAAACTTACAGTGCTGCTGCTAGATGGGACAATCAGTGCTGAGCAGGCAGAAGCAAGCAGATATGTCATAGAAAAGGTGCAGCCAGAGTGCTCCTTGGAGGCAAGGACTGTGAAACTTTGTCTCTCATATTCTGGGCTTGTTGCTGGTAGAAGTTGTTCCTTGCACTGGGAGAGTCTCAAGCATATCAGAGGATGAGAATGGCAAGGGCAGCACTCCATTCATGTCTGTCAGGTTGCTATGAGTTGTGCTTGACTCACTGGCACCTAACAACAACAATAACAACAACAACAAGAGGCAGGAGTTCTTGTTCTCTCCCCTCCTCCTCCTTTCCAGGGTTGTCCTCAGCCTCCTGGGGCATTAATGGACTGGAAACTCTTTAATTCACAGTCCTTCTCACTGACTTTCTCTCAAATGCGAAACTAAATTTTGCCTCTCTTCCCATCTGCAGCTCCTCGAGGGGCTCCCTGGATTTCTTCAGCTGCCTAGGTTTAACTCTCCCTCTCTAAATGGTTAGATCCGAGTTTACTGAGACACAGCCTGGGGATGGCAAAATGCCAGTCATTAGGTTCCTCTGCTGTCTCTCCCTAGTGGTTAAGGACGGCTGCTAATGACAAGAGCTCTGGTGGCCCAGTCAGTAGGGCGTTGGGCTGCTACCCCAAAGGCCATGCCTTTATGTTGGTTCCAGTTCGCCAGTGGAGTCTCCTCTTAATTTAATTTACAGGCTTGGGAACCCAATGGAGGGTCAGCTAGGGGTCTGTTCCCACAGAAAAGCCTGCAGTTTGAATTCTTCAGCTGCTCAATGGGTTAAGGGTCTGCTAGTTTGCTTCTGTAAGATTTCTAGCTTTGGAAACCGCAGGGATAGTTCTACTTTTTCTTTCTTCCTTTTTTTTTTTTTTAAAAAATCAATTAGCTGGCAGTATACCTGGTGGGTTTTTGTCACTCCATAGAAGTTTGCTCTTAAAAGCTACATTAAGAAAATCGGCACCAGAGCTGAGAAATGAAAATCCCTGAATGGCACAAACAGGAAAGGTTTTCAGTTTGAATCTACCCAGAGCCATTTATTAAGAAAAGTCTGGCAATCTACTTCCAAAAGGCGGCAACCATGGAAACTGTCCAGAGAGCCCACTTTTACTGTGAGCCACACGGGGCCCGTATGGGTTGGATTCAACTCAGCAGCAAATTTTAGCTGAGAAATACTGTGAAGAAACATAGAAAAGAAGGCAAAAGCTTAGGTTTAACCACAGCCCTGCCACTCTCCAGCTGATTAGGAAGAGTATTACCCATTGGAACCAGTAGTGCACAGCTAGAGGTGTTGAGCTGGTAGACCCACGGGGGGTCTGGGCTACCTGTAATGCATTAAGGAATCTGAAGAAGAAAAGGCTGAAAAGCAAAACCACTGATACTCTAGTGACATCTGGTGGTAACCTTGGTGTTAAGACGTCTGTCTGTCTTGATGCCTGATTTTGTTCAATTGTGTTCTGTCTGAGAATCTTGTTCATGATACGCGATGAACAAGCGGGGGTGGTCTGTTCACCCTCACCCCCTTCCCTGCTCACGGTTTTCTATCCTCTTGACTCTATTCATGGGGTACAAGCTTTCAAGGAAGGGTTTGAATTGATCTAACCTTTTCTAGAATTTTGTGCCTGTGAGCTAGTGGTTTCAGATAGATGTAAGTTCATCACAGATAAGATGGGTTTTAGGTTCATTCGTTTCTTTTGTTCTCCTGTAGAGCTCTATGAAAAAGAATGTGGCGGAGAGACCGTGGTCTACTGGGAAGTGAAGTACCCCTTTCCCATGTCCAACAGGGATGTATCCTTTCAACAGGCACATCATTCCTCGCTCTGTAAGCATTTCTTTTTTTTTTTTTTTTCTGTAAGCATTTCTATGCACCGCGGCCATCACCGGCTCTAGGGTGGAAGTGCTAATTTTCGAGCAGGTGCAGATCGTCTTGTTTTCGACCCCTGAAGATACATTTGCTGCAGCCATTGCTTCTTATACAACTTTTGGAGATGTCAGAGCATGATCCCTGAACTTGGCATCTGTGATTGGTGTCACTGGATTTAACATTGCTGCACCACTGAATTTTGGATGGGGAAGAGATTTTAAAGAGCTTAACTTCTTTAGTCTCCATAGGAGGTAGTGGGGCCCAGAGTGGGGAAAAGAACAGAGGTATTTAAGTAATTAATAGCAGGGCAGAGACTGGAGCTCTGGCCCCTGTACACCCAGCTCGCTCTCTCCCATTTGATCTCAATTGACTGTAGCTTCCAGCCAGCGATGTGTTAGGTGATGTCTCTCAGACGAGTGGAGCAAGTTGTGGGATAGGGTGAGCCAACATCTCCTGCAAAGATGTAGGAGGTTTGATAGGGAAGAAAGCCAGAGTCAGCACAGCAGCAGCTCAACACAACAGCAGCATCACAACAGCTGAAGCTCTGGAGAACTTTGCCCATGAGCTCACAGGAGAGTGGAGACCCCAGTGTGGTGTGTGTACAGGCTTGCAGGTGCCTGAGCAAAGACTGCGACAGCTGGGGTGCTGCGTGGTCATGGGGGTGGTGCGGGGTTGTGATTTTTACTATGTGCTACTAAGTGCAACTGGATCACACTTGGAGTGATTCTTTGGGGTTGCTTTCCATTTTTTAAAAATTCCTTTTAGTATACCACCCCTTGTTCTATTATTTGAAAATAGAAGGAATATAATAAGGAGCCCTCGTAGAGGAACAGGTAAGCACTCGACCTGCTAAACCAAAGCCTGGTTATTTCACCCCACCCAGGAGTACTTCCAGAAAAAACAAACAAACCTGGAAATCAATTCCTATAGAGATTAAAGCCTTGAAAACCCAGTGAGACAGCCCTCTGCCACATGGCGTTGCTATGACTCACAGTTGATGTGGCACCTAATTTGGTGAGCCTATTAAAGAACCAGCTACGAAATTCTAGGCTGTCATGTCAAGTGGGGTTTCCATTTCCAGTTCCATCACTAGCACTTGCCTGTGGGATCTTGAGCAAGATTTAAACATTTTTCAGAACCTCAGTTTTGTCATCTATAAAATGGAAGTACTTAGTATTGCCTTGACATGGTCTTCGTAAGGATCAAACCTGATGCTATGTAGACAGAGCGCGTCATGTTTATTACAATCAGAGCTGGAAAAGAGTGACTTCTAGTGTTGCTAAAGATTTCTTTTCCTTAGACATAGTGGTTTGGTAAATGTTTATAACGATGAAATGTCTTTGTAATTCTTGGTAAACCAGTGTTAACCCTGAGACAATAGCTGGCTACTGAATTTGCAAGTGTTCATGTATTAGCTTAAGCTCTTGTTACTTATTGTCCCTCTTTTGTATTTAGAGGTACATGATTAGAGCTTTGAGGTGAGCACAGGATAAAGATAAATGGCACCACCATTTATCAAGTGTTTATTTGCCCTGGTCATTGTCTCCAATGTCCTCCATATACATCGATGGCAGGTTATGTTACTCCACTGTCCGAGATAAGGGAACTGAGCCACAGTAAGGTTGAATAATTTACCTGAGATCACACAGCTGACGAATGGCCAAGTTTCTGCCGTTTCAAAGCATCTCTTTGGAGAAAAAGAGGGCTGGATTCTTTGCATGTATAATACACCAAGGAACCATTCACAGGCAAGGAACCATGTTCTTAAATGAGAGTTCTAGAGAGTATGAGGTACAATCTTGAGATGCAAGTAGGGAGATAAGACAGGAAAGGGAAGCACCAGGATCAGGGAGCAGCTGCCAGAAGGAGGTACAGGTTTATGGTTTATCCTTGTTTCAAGTTTATGCAATGCTCTTTACGCATCTGAGGTGTCACACCTTGACTGACAGTGCAGTATGTATACCTCCGGCAGCGGCAAGAGCTGGAGATCGACGGGCAGAAGGTCTACGTGATCCTGGCCCAGAGCACCTCTGTGCCTCAGTTTCCTGAGAAATCAGGTGTGATCCGGGTGAAGCAGTACAAGCAGAGCCTGGCCATTCAGAGTGATGGCAAGAAGGGGAGCAAAGGTAAAACCTGGGGTGCATCTCGGGGCACACAGCCAAGGCTGCTCCTGTGAAGAGCATGCTGACTCGGAGGGTGTGAGAGAACGGGGATGGGAGGCCCCTGGAAGTTAGAGAACAGCATGAGGTCAGAACTGACAAGGGAGCAGCACCAGGGGAAGGACTTGCTTCCCTTCCAGGAACCTGGCCAGAGCGAGACGTGGGCTTTGGAGTCTGGCTCCATTCTGTGTTGACTTTTACAATGTGCAGGTGAAAGGGGAATTTTGCAAGCAAACCAGAAGTTTAGAAATTCTCCTCAGGCTAATCCTGAGGATAGGGTAGACTGGCAATTCTGTCTCAGGGAATACAGCACCCATTCAGCACGCCATTCCGAAGACTCAGCTCCTGGCTGCCTTGAGCTCTGGCCCCGAAGAGCCAGGAGGCCACCCTCCACATCATGTGGGAAGGAGTATGGCCTTCACTAAAGTCCAGACTTAGCCCTGAGGTGTCTCAGCTCTGTCGCCCTGCTCATGCATCTGACATTCCTGAATCTCAGTTTGGTCTTTTATAAGACGGGGTGAATTTTTACCACCTTTTTTACAGTTGTTACATAATTTATAAAATGGGGCTGAGGTCTCATGCTAGGTAGTTGATAACTAGTAGTGTATTTGTGCATTAAAAGAATATTGGCCTATAAGCATGCTATGCGATAGATGGGAGGAGAGTAAAGTTCACTTGAATTGTGTTCTCTCTCCTCATGTTTTCTGGGCCTGAATGTAGAGATACAAAGTGTGCAGGGATTTTCCCCTTATAATAGTTTTCAAACATTTCCCCCCCCCCTTTCTGAATTCTCCTTTCTCTCCCCTTCTAGTCTTCATGCATTACTTTGATAACCCGGGTGGCCAGATTCCGTCCTGGCTCATTAACTGGGCTGCTAAGGTGAGATCCCAGGAGGCGGGAGGGGGAGGCGCGGGGGTGGGGTGTGTGTGTGACCTGTGTTGACTTAGCCTATGGAGCTGTCAGGCTGAAGAGACACTTTGTCTCCCATGGAATGAGGCTCTTTTATGAAGCAGCTTGGGTAAGTGATGATGGTGGGAACTGGGCTTGCCAACACCCAGGACGAACGCTGGAATGAGAGACAAAGAATCCTTGCTTGGAAGGCCCGCCCGTGTCCACCAGCCCTGACCCCTTCTAGGCTCATTCTTTAGAACCAACTACTGGACAGTCCTTCAGCTCTTCCTGGGACAACAGTGCCTTTGGGTGCCGTGTCTGCTTATGGAGATGAAAGACAGACTGACCTTGCTCAGGAGGGAGCCAGACATCTGTCCAAGACTGGAGGAAGACTCCAGCTTATGTTGTTTCCAGCAAGAGGAGCCTGGATCATTAGAGACTGCCCAAAACCTGACGTCATGGGCTTTTTTGGGTCCCTGAGTGGTGCTAACAAATTTGCATTTCAAATCTACCAACATTTCTGCAGGAGAAAGATGAGCAGTCATTTCTTGACTTATTTATGGCCTTTGAAAACCCTCTGAAAGGTCAACAGTAGTTTATTTTCAGATACGATAGGACATAACAAAAATAACAACACACAACTCCCTAGAAGTTGGTGGTTTGAACCCATCCCGTAGCACTGCTTACGATGGATTTGGTGATCTGCTCCCATAAAGATGTTATTGTTCTGGTTAGAGACCTTGTGAAGAACAGAGCTGAGCCCTGTCCTATCCAGTGCCGTCCTCACCATCTCTGATACACTTGAGCCCATTGCTGTAGATCCTGTGTCAATCCACCTGGTTGGGGATCTTCCTTTCTTTCGCTGAGATTCCACAATATGTCCAAAGTATGAGAGGCGTAGCTTTGCTTGCCATCCCTGAATCCAAGCAAACCCAACCCAATCCTATGTAACAGTTCTACTCTATAGATTATGGATCACTATGGGTCAGGATCTACTCAATGTCCACACATTTGATTTTTGTTTGGCACAAGTCCCTGGTCAGATGCGAGATTGAAGGTTGAACTAACTGAGAAATTGGATATTTGAGTCCACTTAGATGTTCTTCTACGACTGTCGTTGTGCCTTCAAAAAATCAGCCATTGCAAACTCTATGCAGTGCAGTTCAGCAGACACGTGGAGACGCTAAAAAAGTGGAATTAACTCCATGACAGCTGTTGATGCTACCAACTGGAGGGTGTAACGAAGTTCTTGGGGGTTGAGGGTGAAAAGCACATTGAAAAGCACTTTGGAGTCCAGCCTATGTAGTTTTGAATCCTGGCTGCACTGTTGGTGGTCAATATAATCCAGGATGGTCATTCAATATTGTCCTTTTCAAAATCAGACATAGATATTATGTATGCCATGAAATAGGTGTTTGGAAAAAATCAGACAGTGCTTGAAAAATATTGCACAATAACCCTAGTTTTAGTTCATGTACTGAACAACAAATCCCACATCACCATTGGACCAGTAGACGACACCATGATCAACAGAGAAAGGATTGAGACTGCCAGTGACTTCCTCTTTCTTGAATCCACAGTTAATACACTTGGTACCAGTCAGAAAATCAGGAGCTGTATTGTGCTGGCCAAGTGTAGTCAGGGACTTGAACAAGTTATTGAGGAGTACTGAGGTCACTTTGAGGACTAATAGGTGCCTGACTCAGGCCATGACCTTTTCAGTCACTTGCTATGCATCTGAGAGCAGGACAGTGAATAAGGATGGCATAAGACCTGATGCCTTTAACCTGTGGTGTTTGAGAAGATTGCTGAAGATCTCATTGACTGACAAAAGAATAAACAGGTCAGTCTTGAACAATGTGCTCCCTGGAGACCAAGATGATTAAAGCTTAGTCTTAAATATTTGGGGCATGTTGCCAGGAGAGTTTATTGGAGAGGGACAGCATACTTGGGAAGGTGGAGGGGGCAGCAAAAGAGAGGAAAACCTTCAACCAGGTGGTTGACATGGTGACTGCAGCAATGGGTTTGAATGTATCAGAGTGTGAGGATGGCGTGATATATGACAGTGTTCAGATTTGTTGTTCATAGGGTTGCTATAAGTCATACTTGACTCTCTGGAACCTAACACCACCACCACTGACATATTAAGCTCTGGTAGCCTAGTAGTAAAAGCTATGCGGCCAACACAAAGGCACAAGGTTTAAATTCACCACACCAGCTGCTTCATGGGAGGAAGATAGGCAATCTCCTGTGCAATTTACTGCCTCTGAAAACCCACTGGAGGGTCAGCTACAGGTTGGTTCCGACTTGATAGTACACATCAACAACAACCAGCACTGGGAGTCCTGGTGAAGAGCCGTGCTGCCACGCCAAAGGAAAGCGGGGTTACTGCCTCTCAACATCTGCTGGACGGACAGCTACAAGGCAGTTCAACTTTATGGCAAATAACAAGCCCAAATCCATACCATTTTCTAAAACAAGTCCTTCCTCTCATTTCTGTAGAAGTATCTAACAACACAGCTCAGGTTGGTTCACTTTTTGTGTGTGGGTTTTATTTGTTGTTGTTGTTGTTTTTCTTCTCAAGACAAGATAGCTCAGAATATTTTAGTGGGTTTTTTTGTTTGTTTTTGTTTTGTTGTTGTTGTTTTTTTACTACAAAAGCCAAAACAAGCAATGTCTTAAGATGATGGCTGCAGCCATTTAGTTTCATGTAAGCCCCTCATTTTACTTTTCTGTTATCCATGAAAACATTCTATCACAGCACACCTGGTCCATCTTTTATCATATCCAAAGTAATCTTTATTTCTCTTTTGTCAACTCCAAAAGGGCCATGAGTGAGTGAAGACAGCCAATGACAGAGTCTCTCTTCCTTTGCAGAATGGAGTGCCTAACTTCCTGAAGGACATGGCGAAAGCCTGTCAGGGATTCCTCAAGAAGCCCTAAGAGCAGGCAAGGGGAACTACGAACCTCTGGGAAGAAGTCTCTGGAAGTGCACGAACCACCAATATTCCCTTTTGTTTTTCTCTTCAGAGGCGTGCCTGCTCTCCAACATGCCATCCCTGCACCTGATTGCCTCAGGGGGCACCCAGGGGCTTCCTCTCCCATTCGTCCCACTCAGGGCCACTATTGACTACGGCTAGGATTAGAGAAGCCTCAGCTTGTTTATTTTGAAAGAGAAATTCTCAATGGGGAACACAATCATTCCATTGTGCCATTTTGACAGGAAGTGGAGTAGGTGGAGGACAGACAACAAAATGCAAAGAATGACTGCTCAGGACAAGCTGCCTCTTTCCCAGAATGTGAATTCTTACAACTCCAGAGGGGCTGCGGGGGTCACATGCTTTCTGATCTGGCTTCCAATGCTTAGCTGATGTCCATTTGTCTTATGCTTTTTTGTTCACTCAGTTTGCCTGGGATTTGAGATGATAATGCAATCAGACTGCGTGTTCCTCCTCGTCCCTATGATAGTATCAAGCCATTTGGAAAAACATTGCGTACCTGACTGGGTACACAATGTGCTAACAATAACTATCTTGTCCTGGTTGTCTGGGTCGAGGTTTTCCTCTTTCCCATGCGTTGCTGGGAAAATGCTGTGCACACCTCTCCAGTGGTCTGCTAAGACATTGAGGTGGTTTTGGCAGCTAGCAAAAGGAGGCAAAAGATGCTTCGTGCATGGCATCATGACCAAGTGGCTTTATATGCAATAAGATGCATTTCCCTTCTGAATGCTTGCACACGTTGAAAGAATGATAGTTCACAGTGAGGGGAAATGTAATTAGTGACTTGGTTGACTCAGCCTCTTTTTCTCAGGAAATCTACCCAAATTGCCTGCCTCTGACATTACCCAAAGGGCTTTGGCTTTTTATCTTTTCACCTGTGTTTTGATAGGGAAAGCTATGCTGTGGCTAAAGACACAGGCATGATGATCTCAGGGAAACATTTTAACTAGTGTGTCATGGTACCAGATCTCAACGAATGAGTGTAGACACTAGGGACATAAAGCCAGAAGGAGGGGGGCATGCATTCTACCGGGATACCTCGGACTGTATTATCTGGCAAGGAAACTGTTTCTTCCACACAGAATAAACAGAATGACTTATACTTCTTGGGTTTACAGCTTCCTACTTGTTCCTTTTTTGAGAATAAAGCAGTTAGATCTCTTTTGCTGTTTGTGTGATGACCATCCTAACACACCATTACCATTTCATTGCCAACCAGTTAGAGGGAACACATAGCTGACCCTCCAATAGGGTTTGAGAGGCTGAAATTGTATCAATAGTGTACTGGCATCTTTTATTGTCACATGGAAAGATTTGATGGCATAATGATTAAAGTAGTTGGTTGCTACCTGAAAGGTTGGTAGTTTGAACCTATGGGCTTTGCTGTTGGAAGAACATGTGGCAAACTGCTTCCATAAAGATAAACAGGAGATTAATCAGAACTGGCTTTGACAAGCACTGTGGCAATTGGACAATTAAAACAGACTTTCAAGGGGGAAAAAAAAGAGGAACAAACTGGGGAGGAGGGTAGAGAAAATAGTGCAACAATGAATGAGTGGAAACCCACAATCTCTGTAAATATTCATTAAAATTAAGAAAATTTAATTTAAAAAAGATAAACAGATATATTTACATATAATACAAAGCAATATTGCATGAGAGATTACCCATCTTTCTCCCTGGATTCAAACTCCTTTGAGTTGACAGTGTAACTTCTTGCTGACTAGGCCACCAGAACACAAGAGGTCTTAAAGGATATCTTTGAGTCGAAGTACATGGCAGATGGGGTATAGTGAGGCCTCCTCGGGTTGGTATTAGATTCAGATCTGACAAAATGACAAAGTTTTGTCTCACTTTAGGCATGTTGCTAGAAGAGGCTATTCCTTAGAGAGGAACATCTTAGAAAGGTGGAAGGTGAGGAAAAGATGAGAAGATCTCCCATGAGATGGGATGACACAATGAGTGCAGCAATGGGCTCTAGTGTTTCAGAGATAAGGAGTATGGCACAGAATAGGACAGGGTTCAGGCCTGTTGTTGATAGGGTTGTTTGTGAGTCATACTTGATGGCAGCTAACAACAATTTGGAGGATAATGCCATCTTGTCAAGCATGTAGGTGGTATAAAGTCATGTAGGCAGACAGAATCTGAGCCAATAGAAGACGCCAGTAGTGCAAAAACTAGAAAACTTTTGTGGTTGTATTCAATCTTTTAAAGTTTACACTCTTTTTTTTTTTAAAAAAATCTATTTTTCGTTTCAATGAACATCTACAGAGATTTTGGAATTCCATTCATTCATTGTTGCACCCTTCTCCCCAGACACCCCACCTCACCCCCCCCCCGTTTGCTCCTCTCCCTGAAAAGCAAAAGAAAAACTCCCTCATTGGTACACAATCCCCCCCGCACCTCCCCCAATCCCACCCCCAACCCCAAATATAATCCACTCTGCAACCCTCATTGTGTACTCCTATGATAAACATAATGCCCTAAAATATAATACTTTTAAACTATTCTCTCCCCCATAGACTTCAATGCCATAAACATATTTCATCCAGTTTTTCTCAGCCTTACCCCCACCCTGATGCCAGCCTCATTCTACAACAGTGGCACCATATAGCATTTGTCCCTTTGTGACTGAGATACCTCACTCAGCATAATGTCCTCCAGGGTCACCCATTTTGAATAATATTGCATGAGTTCCTTGTTTTTCAATGCAGCATAGTATTCCATTGTGTGGCTATACCACAGCTTCTCTACCCATTCATTTGTTGATAGGCATTTAGGTTGTTTCCAACTCCTTGCTATTGTAAACAAAGCCACGATAAACATGGGTATGCATATATCTACTTGGATGTCATTTATGGTCTCTTTAGGGTATATTCCCAGTAGTGGAATTGCTGGGTCAAATGGTATCTCTAAAGTCTTAAAGGGCTTACTTTATTATTTGAATTTTGAAACTAAATATATTGTCATCCACTAGCATTTTTGTTTTTCTTCTTTCTTTCTCTGGTTGTCTCAAAGGAGCCCTGGTAGCACAGTGGTATAAAAAGAGAGGTATACCATGTAAAGTTTGGCCATCCAAACCCACCAGCTACCTTTCTAAAGTCTAATGTGGCAGGAATAGTGTGGTCTGGATTAGGTCCAGCTGAGATTAGTCAGGATTTCAATTAAAAGTTAATGGCAAAAGTAGCACCAGCATGGATGCTAATGTTTTTCCATAGTTGAATTATTCACACTACATAACAGTTCAAAGTTAATGGTCACTTTGGAACTCGGGATTGCCAGTAGGGGTCACTTCCCTTGAAAATGTTCCTGTTTCATGAAAGAGTCCTGGCATGACTCCCTGGCTGAGATTCCTTGCACAGAACCCCCAACAGTAATGCTTGCCTTCCAAACCTGCTTCCCAGCTGGATTTGGAAGAGACAAAGCAGGAAGTGCCCATTTGGTTCTCACATTTCTGGTAGCACCACCCAGTCGGCTCAGGGGATTAGCATCATACTGTCTGGTGTCCATCCGGCAAGGTGCTGGGTACAATGATTTTGTCTAGAATGAATGAGGCAGGGTTGGTCTCTGTGTTCTGGCAGCCATAGTCTAGTGAACTGTGACTGAGTGAACTTCTAGAAGAAGATACAGCAAACAAATTGTTCAAAGGGTGATAAGTGAGAAGAAAATGCAAGTAAAGGGGACTTGGCTGCAAATCTGGGAGCTCTAAGTAAGTCTGTGGAATCATAGAATTAACACACGAAAGGAGGACTTAAGAAAATTTATTTGTATTTTTAATAATTGTATGTATGTATGTCTATTTGGGTAAGTGTTTGAAGCTCTGGTGTCCTAATAGGAGTTTCACTGCTAACTGCCAGCCCCCGCCACCGCCCCCCCCAAAAAAGCACATGGTTCAAATCCTAGCTGTTCTGCATAAGAAAGATAGGAAATCTTCTCCTGTGCAATTTATAGCCTCTGGAAACCCACTGGAAGGGTAGCTAAGTATTGATACTGACTGACCTCATTACACTTAACAACAGTATAGCACAAACGGTTAGGCACTTTGCTACTAACCAAAAAAGTAGTGGTTTAAGTTCACCCAGAAGCATTTAAGAAGAAAGGCTTGAAGATCTACTTTTGCTGCTTCTGAAAGATCTGTCACTGGAAACTCCCTCTGAAACTCAAGGGGCCATTGTGAGTTGGAATAGGTTTGATAGCATCTGGTTGGGTGGTTGGGTTTTTTTGTCTCTTCTTTGTTTGATATGCAGTCCATTCAGAAAATACAATAATGGGACAATGACTGAGCATATACGTGAGTTACTGTTGATGCCCTTTGACATCATCACATGCCAGGCCCAGTTTGAGTCAGTGAAAAATTGAAGGGTGAGAAGGCACAGATTCTTCCATTAAGGAGACGAAATGCTAACACAAGAGTTTGTGGTTATGAGGAAGAGTGTGGTCATCATCACATTACAGGAAAGATGACAATGCTTTAGGACCCAGAGGCAAAGGGCTAATCATTTCTCAGCATCTGTCTTCTCTGGCTTTCAAAGTAATGGCCTTTCAGTGTAGCGTCTGGTCTCTTGAGATTTCTCACAGAGTATTGTGGACGTCTGAGAAAATTCTGGTCAATGTCCTAAATTTAGATAATTTGTGCCATTTCCAGTTCAGGATCATAAAAGGAAATAGTATGAACTCACCTGGTCCTTTTCTTTGACTAGGAAATGATGAGAACTGGAGCAATTGTCTGATTCACAGATAATAGGGTTCAAGATGATAAGCCAGCCCTACCACACTTTACTGTTAGAAAGATCTACACTTCTTTCCTTTTTAAGCCATACCAGTTGTTGATCTAACTCCCCCCCCCCCCAGTTTATCCTGTAACTAATAAAGAATAGTATAACATGTTCCCTTTGGACAAGGTGATCAGTGGTCCCATGATCCTCAAGACCAGGCAGGATTTCA